AAAAATCTGTACTCCTCCCCCAGTATTGTCAGGGTGATTAAGTCGAGAAGAATGAGATTGGCTGGGCATTTAGCGCGCATGGATGGGACAAGAGGGGTGCACCCGGTACTGGTTGGGAAACCTGAAGGAAAGAGACCGCTGGGGAGACCTAGACGTAGATGGGAGGATAATGTCAGGCGGGATCTATGGGAGATAGGAGTTGAAGGAGACTGGATTTTGTTGGCCCAGGACAGGGTCCGGTGGAGGGCTTTGGTTAGTTCGGTGATGAACCTTCGGGTTCGGTAAGCCATCTGGTTGGTTGGTTAGTTAGTTGGTTAGTTGTGCAGTGTGAAATGTGCGGGTATTTGAATCTGTCGCCGACAAATTCAATGTCAGTAAAACAACATTCTAAGGTCCAGTGTCTGCTAGTTATCCGATAACCTCCTTACCAAAAGTTCACCAACTATTCCCCTAATATTATATTGTATACCCCTGAGATAGAAGTCGTACGTACTAACATAATAAAATATCTGAGCTAACCAATCACGCAAACAGCTGAACTCATCCAGCTACAGAGATGTTTTCAAGAGACTTTTGGGCTAAGAAATTCAACCGAAACTTAACCTAATGACTTTACGTAGACAGGCTTCACAATGTAGCTATCCAGAATTGCTTAAGTTTACACTACAAAGATAATAATGCTCAGAGAGAGGATTTCTTTTTCGCCCATTAAAAACATTTATAAACAAGATACTAACTTCTGGGTTAACATTAATAAAAGATTACGAGGATGAAACTTGGAAATTTTGATTGGTAGACAAATGTCGCGAGCCCCAGGGATATTCTCCTTCAGACATGATTTATTCATAATTTTCGAAGCCACTGAAAACCTGAACACGATCCCTCAACAATCTTAGAACCACCCCTCAAATAGGTTCCTGTCACCCTTTAAACCCTAGTGACAATTCGTAATTCTGCAATGTGTATTTATACGTTTCGTGTGATTCTCGCTGTAAAAATCGATTATTTCCGTAAACAGTATTAACCATTTGATGTTTCTAATGGTAAAGTGTTGTGTTTTCTTTGCGGTACGGACTGAATTCTTAAATATTCTTCTGGTGAGTTTTGGCTTCAAACGGTTAAACCTGTTATTATTTCGTCTAAGGGTCCAATAAAACTTCCGAAACGCCTCACATCCCAGTACAAAAACCAATCTTCTTCTTTATTACGCCATCTCCTGTACAGGAGATTGGCGACAGGTCCATATGAACAGGATCCTTCCATCCTTTTCTCGGACTGGGACCTGTTCATATACGTTCTTGGCAGATGATCCAGAAGTGGTTTGCCATTGCCTTCTTCTGTGTGGGAATGGAGTAATTGTTGGGATGCCACGGAGGAAAACTCCGTGTTGCCTACACCACGGCCTTGCCCAACACAAGTTATAAATTCGGGCACCGCCGGGAATCGAACCCGAGACCCCAGGATTACAAGGCCAGCATACAAAAACCAACATGGAAACAAAAAAAACTGCATTCTATAAGTCACTGAAATAGATCAACGATAAAATGTACCAAAGCAGAGAGAGACAGAGAGAAGAGAAAAGGATAGAATGCGACTCTAAATCAAATCTACGAATAACACAAAGATGCAGATCTTGGCTTACAGAATACTGCTAATGACATCAAAGTCAACAATTATTCACGGGCTGAATTCTGAGGGAAAAAACTATTGTATAAACGAAGAAAGGTGACTGGATTCTGTGTTTAAATTACACACGAAAACTAATGATTCTGAAGATATGTATACATCATCTGCGAAAGCCAAGTTGGACCAGAAAACTTGTTCTTTATTTTCGGTTTGTATAATATCCCCTTCAGTTTCTCTGATGATTTGTGTGCGATGCATTTGAAGGAAGTTTAAGGGAAGTGGTCGTGGCAAAGTTTGAGGTCCTCTTCTGGAAATTTCCCAGAGGGTCTGACTAAAACCATAGAAAATTAAGGATATCCGGTCTCCGGGACAAGATTTGAGCCCGGAACGTCTGTAACACCAAGAAACAAAAAGTACTTACTCTGAATTCACGGATCATCAAGACCTTGAGACAAAGCTCCCCTCCCTCGTCGCCTAGACGCGTCGTTTGTCAAGTGTCTCGGAATTTCCTTCCTTTCGGGCAAAAGGTTTTCTCGCTTTAACTATTTTAAACCAAATTTCGCAGAAAGCTCAAGATTGTTTCTCATCCGTAGTCTTACCACACACGTACTCCACCAAATTAACTTGATAATTGTATTCATAATATCTTTCTTGGGCTTGTTCATTGTGTCACAACTCTTTATTTTAAATGGCTGACGTAACTTTGCTGGTTTTCAAAATTCTTTGCTTAGTGTCGATTAAGTGACTTATGATACTGCCTGCTTTACATACGAATCTATAATTAAAGGATTTATCACTTCTGCGTGCCATCCAATTGCACGAATCAAAACTCTCGGCAGGCTAATTGCGAATACAATTTCACACCCACTGTCTTTTGTAACTGAAAGAACATTTAAAGACTATCATAACGATAATTAACTTTAAATTTTAATATTTTCCGTCAAATCACAATTTTTTAATAAGATGATAAAATGTTTAAAATATCATTTAAATATTTTATATTTTATCATCTTATTAAAAAATTGTGATTTGACGGAAAATATTAAAATATTAACTTAACTCACAATATGACGCAAATATACTACCTTTTAAATTTTAATAATTTTAATAAATAGCCTATGGAGTGTACTTGTTTATATTACATGTATTTCGTTGTATTATATTATATGTATTTTGTCGTAATTGTAAAGTGTAAGGACCACTGCCACCGGGTACAAACCCAATTGTAGTAAATAAATAATAATAATAATAATAATAAAGTATATTTAGAAATGATCTAATAAAACAAATGTTAACATACATTATATTCAGCTTATAAACGAAAATAATTCTTTTATATTCTTTGGAAAATTATGAAAATAATATTTCTAATATTTTCAGGACCGGTGGGAGAAAAAAAAACCCTTTCAGATTTCGAACCGATCGCGTCGCATTGTTTGTGAAACGCTGGTTTAGGAAAAGATAACATTTTTATATCGGACATTTATCAGACAGCAGGGAGCCATGGCGGAACTGACAGGTGGCTCGTAACAGTTAACAGGTGGCTGGGACACGAACTAAAAAAAAAAAAGTAGAGAACTTGAATGCCAGCTTCGTTACTCGTTTGTTTCCCCTTGCTGGAGCCCACTGTCGCTATGGGCACGAGAGTTACTATTCTATCCGACTTATAGCAAGTGGACAGACGATAAATACGTCACACGGCTGGTGCTTTTGTCATCGACCAGAAGGTTTAATCGATTAGAAACGAGAGTCGTAAATTCTCTCCTTCAGTCGGAGGGTGTTCATGGCGTCACCTTGAGCCCTGCATCCAAATGCAGCACAAGGGAATAATGGTTAATCAACGGTCTCTCTCCGTCTGTCCATTCGCCAAAGATAATCGACAATTTTTGATTAGGCTGCACACGATACAAATTTCTGCAATAAAAATTGCCAAGAAATTCTAATTTCGATCCGTAAAACATGTGGTGTGGAAAAGTATAAGTATTCTTAAAATTTTGAGTAGTACTTTCTGTTTTTAGTATTTTCCTGAATTAAATAAAAAAGCTCTATAAAATTTTAATTTGTTTTTTTTAAAAGTAGACAGATGTATACAACGGACGTAAAATTCCGAAATTTAGAATTCGCTCTGACGTTGCAGAAATGAGACAATCAACTTCGCCATGTTTTTAAAAAAAAATTTAAAAATCGGGAACGTCTCAACGAATTTTCATAAAACTTGACACTGGAGCTTTTTATTAAAGTCTATCGAACTTGACAAACTTTGATTAAAACAGGTCGAAAATAACGGGAACTTAACGTTAATATCTACAAATGGAAGTGACTTTGGGGGATCCCGAGCCAAATATCTCGCCTTCTTAACCACACGGGTGAATCCAGGTAATTAAGTTATCATCCATCCATCCATTCACGCAAAGGTCAGTCCTCCCAGGCGAGTCTGACGTCACTGGTGTTATTCTGAAAGGTCACAGGTAATGTTTTGACGCAACAAACAGCCCTCTCTTCAACAGGTTATTGTAAAATTATTTAGGAAGTAAAAATCTAGTGTCATTAACAGAGCACGTGCGTCAGGTTTGTGACGCTATGCGTAAATTACGCAAATTGTTTGTTATGCTATCGTAACATATAATGAAATTGTTTCAGTAAAGTCATATCTTGGGTGGCAACTTTTACTAAAACAACTTACATAATATAATCTATGTGTAAACACATTGCTCAGTGATGACGTCAGAAATTCTCATTGTATGTCGGTAAATGGGCGAGACTCAGTGAGCTGTCTCGTTGTGTTTACCTACAGTAGATACGTTTCTGCAACAAATGAACATCAAAATGAGGAACTGTATTCTCTCTATTGAAATATCAACTCACGGTCATTTTTATACCCAGTAACTTTAACCCACTGTACGCATTATCATCACTCACACTTTAACTGCATGTTAAAGTTATATCACTATCGACTGACGCAATATTACTATCGACTATCAACTATCGACCACTTACCATTACTATTCGACTATCAACTATCGACTATCGACTAGTTACCATTATTATTCGACTATCAACTATCGACTATCGACCAGTTACCATTATTATTCGACTATCAACTATCGACTATCGACCAGTTACCATTATTATTCTACCTCTCCCATGCTAATATAGATTCATCTCGAACCTGGACTAGTGAGCTTCCTCTGGTCCTAAAAAACATGTCTTCAACAGAGAGTAAAATCAGTGACACAAAATTAACAAAATATCATCCCAATTTATTTCTGTAGCACAAATACTAGGTTGCTTTCCTTTAGCAAAAAAGTGATCTCAGTTTGGCGGACGCCTACCACGATCTGAAGTGTGATGCGTTGGAAAAAAGTTTCCTTACTTTCTAAACTTCTTTCTGTGGGGGGAGTGGAGAAAATATTACGTATAGTGAAGTGGGCGTGCTATTGGCTGTTAGTGCAGATATCGGGAAGTATACAGTGCCATTACTAGGTGACAAATTGGACGTGCGTTCTGAAAGAAGGATTCAATAATCACCATGAGTGTCAGTAGTTCCGTTACGACGATATGTTGTAGTGCAGAATACCAACATGAAGGAAGTGCTGATAAAGTCATCACTTTATAGTTACAGTCGCCGTCTTATTTCCGAAATGTCCAGCGTTGCTTCCGGATTTCAGGGGAAGGATGAGGGGTTAGTGGCGGGAAAACTGCACGGCCTAGTAAGACGAACCACTGCCAGGGTCGTTTGCGAATTAGTTTACAGCATCCAAATTCCCTGTCTCTGACGCCTAAATTTCATTTGATTCATTACTGGTATCCAATGGCAAACGTCTGATTAAAATGATTTTCAAAAACGTAGCTGGGCAAGTGTTTAAAATCGAATCAATTCGTGCTGAGTCTTTCCCGACAACGAATGGCAGACACTTGTCTCTTTCATCTGTCTATAAGTCACAACAGAAAATATGCCAGAATCTTACGGAGGCATTTTGAGGGATTTCTGTGCAATTTCCGATCGTAGCACGGAACAATGACGTCACGTTGGAAAATTCGGGAAATAAAACAGGTGTAATTCGGAAAAAGGGTTTTCCATACCAAAATCAAGACAGTCAAGGACTGTTATTTATACTGTAACAACAAGCATCAGATAATGCCCTCTGTTTTTAGCCGATGCGAAACTACGTGTAGTTTATGGTGGTAATCTTTGACTCACAGTTATAGAATCGCTATAAAGAGGAACCAGGTTCAAGACTCAGTTAACTCTCCTTCGTATTATGATTCCATTACATTTGTCTCGTCCCCCAAACTATTTCAGTCCACATATACGTTCATCAACATCAGAGTATTATACGAGACACTGTACCAAAAAAGTTCTGCATAACGCGTTCATGTAGTATAAAAGTCGTCGCAACGTGTCGATCAGTTCATCTCCCACCAGAGGGCACCATCGCCACGACGCAGGAAATTGTTTCCCGGGAAAAAGGGGGAACAAGAGAAATATAGAGATATCATATGATTATCTATAAATAAGGCGGCTGTCTCCCTAGATTGGCCTCGAGTCTCCTGCAGACGGTCATGGCAGACAGGCTCCCTTCACGCTGAGTGCACACTCGTTAGTCAAGACAAGACGAGGTCAGACAAGAGAGAAAAGTCCTGACATAAAAATATGATATTATTGTCTTGGTCACATAATTTTGGTGCGCTCCTGTAAGGTAGAACTGACGTTGGGTTCGCCCATTTGTTCAGCAAAAATACGATAAAAAAATACGTGAGAAAATTAAATTTCTGAACTCAACTCCGACATGAAAAACTTAACAGTTTCAGGCGAATGATGACGGGTCGAATGACAAAGAAGATAATCACAGTAGAATATCTTATTTTTTGTATCGGGATTCAAAATAGAAAAAAATATTAATTATGACTTTTATATTACGGATTTTAATCAAACTTTATAATAGGAAAATTTACAAAGCTATAATTTTACATTTGTTTTGTATTGATGTGAAAATTTCATTCACGCTTTGAGGGCAAAAAACAGCTTGACATTTGAGAAAAAGGTACTGAGGGAAACATTTGGATCTAACAGGGATGAAGTTATTGGGGGGGTTGGGGTTGAAGAAAATTACACAAAAAGCAGCTCTGTAGTTTGTACTCTTTATAAAATATTATTACTCTAATCAATCATGCGGACGATAAGAACGCATTTAAAACACTGGCTGGATAGCCTAAAGTTAAGAGATCGCTCAGTATAAACAAGCGTAGATGAGAGGATAATATTAAAACTGATCTTAGAAAAACAGGGTTAAAATGTGTTGACGCTAAAATTTGATGACGCATTCCAATTTCCTTTTAAATCAGAACAGAAACAAAGGCAACTTTACGTAAAGAATTGCATGTGTTCATGAGCGCTGAAGTTCTGTGTGGAAATCTCCATTTTACCTTGGTTACCATGGTTACTTCAATTATGGTTATCATTGTTTAAGATTAAAGGCCATGTCGAGCGTAACCTAATTTGGTCAATTATCACGTTAAATGCCGCGCCCTAAATAATAACTGAACTATTTATTTATTTATTTAGTGTTCTGTCTGACGACAGGTCCATATGAACAGGATCCTTCCATCCTTTTCTCGGACTGGGACCTGTTCATATACGTTCTTGGCAGATGATCCAGAAGTGGTTTCCCATTGCCTTCTTCTGTGTGTGAATGGAGTAATTGTTGGGATGCCACGGAGGAAAACTCCGTGTTGCCTAGACCACGGCCTTGCCCAACACAAGTTATAAATTCGGGCAGCGCCGGGAATCGAACCCGAGACCCCAGGATTACAAGGCCAGCGTTCTAACCGCTAGACCACCGTGTAACTGAACTATATTCGATTGAATGTTATCAAGGCCGTGAGAATGTCGATGTTGGTCTTTTGGTTTATATCGTCGCGTGGACTAGGATTATGGAGGCAGTATGATCCTCTGAAATGTTGGTATTCCACGCGGTGCCATAACCTCGAAGACTAACATCGATAATAATCGAACTATTTCACCAAATCTAAAACTTCTTGACGATGGTGAAGAGTCAATTGAATAAAAATTTTCTTGGATATTATCCATCGTCTCAGTAAATATAAAACGTGAAAACGTAAAACGACGTTTCGGAGATGGGACTCTATCTCCGTCTTCAGGTTCCTACTCAGTTGGGCCCACTAGATAGAGCTAATCCCTATCTCCGGACCAGATAGAGTCCCATCTCCGAAACGTCGTTTTACGTTTTCACGTTTTATATTTACTGAGACGATGGATAATATCCAAGAAAATTTTTATTCAATTGACTCTTCACCATCGTCAAGTCTTACAGGCTGATTTATTGATATTTTAATTGCATATAATTCTGTAATTTTGCATTATAACATTAGCAAATACGTTGAATAAAATGTTTTTAAATGTTCAGGTTCTTGACAACTGTATATACTTATTTGTATTATAAATTTACAGTTGGCATCACACGAATCGACTCTATTATAAAAGAGCTGAATAAGACATCCTTCATCGAATTTATATAAAAAGCGATTATTCGACAAAAGAATTGGTAGAAATTGCTGAAAGTTTTGAACTGACGTGAAACTGCCTTTGATATAGGCCTACATTTCCTAATTGCATATTCTGAATACATTCCATCTGGAGAAGGGTCTAAAATATTTCTTAAAGCAGCCGGTATGCTTCGTCACCTAGAAAACAGAAGAAATATGAAGGACTGTAAAAATTAGTTCAGAAACGAGATTTGGTTAAAGTTAAGTACATTTTTTAAGTATTATGCTGAATTCTGACTAGCCACAACACAGAATAAATACAGTCCATCTCAATACCTTGTATAACACTAACCAAAAAGAGCAATGCAAGTGTAATTCTCTTACACAAACAGAACAACCCACGAAGATGGATGTCTTCTGGGTTTTACTCCGTGTAGTTAGACGGTAAACTTCTACCAGACCGCACGGCGCAACAACCCAGAAGACATCCATCTCCGGACTCACCACCGTGAAAACCTCAAATCCTACAGAACACCGCACGTTCAGAAACGTCTTATTCAATCGTCTATCCTGAAACGTACACGATAAACATTAATGCGACTTATCGTGATTAAACGTCTATAAGACTGTCTCGCATTCACTAATCGGTGTGCGCTTAAGAATCCAGTCCGTACCTCAAAGAAAACACTACACTTCACCTTCGCTAACATCATCTAGTTTATTCTTTTTAAGAAATAATTTACGTTTACACTGAGAATCAGTAGGTACACATAACACACGACTCTAAGTGCGAATGTACGTATTTCATAACAAACTCCATGAAGCGAACAGATTCCTTCTTGACACTCTTAGCTAGTAAAGAATTTCTTTGCCTTTCTTATGGAATCGTAATAATAAAGGGCATTATAAAACCATTTTCTGAGTCACATGAACCACCCCACATACACCTTTCCCCGTTAAGACCAGTTTCAATACATTCCCATGTTAATATTAAGTCTCATATTCGATATATACCATTAGAGATTTGAGACTAAAATTTTGTATGCATCTCTCATCTCCCATGAGTGCAACATGCCTCACTCTTCCCATCCTCCAGACTCAACCAGTCTAACGATATTTCGTGACGCTCCTCATAATACAATTTTTCTCTAGATTGCTGAAACTTCTCCCTACTAAGATCCAGATAATTTCCTTTGCACTCTGTTCTGTGAAATACCGTCAATTGGTATCTCACAGAAAACTCTTTTCTTCTATAAAGGACTGACATTTTAGTACTCCTTCACGACGTATCGAACTTTTAATGACAACTGTAATATATTCCATGCACGAAGTCTTAATTGGAAGAAATCGTGGAGATCTATCGGAAATTCTGTCTTGTATAAAATCCAACGGAGGAAACGCGCTACAGACGTGGTGAGACCCAGTCGCTAGGTCATTAAACCCTGACAGTACCAAATCAC